GAAATCACCTAGCAGGAGCACAGGGTCCGGCAAGGAGTCCAGTAGATGTTTAAGATCGGGAAGAGAAAGCGGGACACTCGGCGAGAGATAAATGGAAAAACGATGTACCATTTCCTCACAAAAATACGAGCAACAAAACAATGGAGAGGCGAAAGAAAAAGTAAGGGGACAAAGGGAACATCAGAGCGAATCAAGAGAGTAGAAGAGTTAGAAGTCCCAGCAATAGCTGGGGGTAGGGAAAGAAAGGAATAGCCACGAAAGCGACCAGGACGAGCACCAAGCATCGGCTCCTGGAGACAGACACAAAGGGGCAAAAACTGCGAAATCAGAAGGTGCGGTTCAAGGGGCCATGGGTAAACTGACTATAGAAGGAGGGAAGGGAGCTGGAGGACCTACCAGGGGTGGACGAGTTGGGTCCGGAGGAGGAAGAGCGGGGATAACCGAGGGTCAAGGACAGCAGCAGGAGGGGCAGAAACCAGGGAGTGCACCTCAGCAAGGGCAGCAACTGAGAGGGAAGCAGGGGCCAAAGAGACCTCCATTGCAGGAACAGGGTGTGGAAACACCGAAACGGGAGGGGATGAAGCAAGAGAGACAGAGGTAGGGGGCGAGGAAGAAAGTGAAGCCTTTTTACCCACCAGGGAGGAGGAAGGAGAGGAGCCAAGCGTACGCTTCTGACTCAAAGAGACAGACTTCCCAGCAACAATTTACTGGGCAACAGATTCTAGCATCTCAACAGGAGAAGCAGAACGAGAGCATACACGACGGCCGTTAGGAGAGCGATGGACATCAGCCCGTACTGACAGGCGGCGTGGAGAGCCAATAGACGGAAGAGAAGGATGGGAAGGAGGATTGGAGGGAGACGAGGAAGAAGACACAGGAGACATGACAGACTGGGCAGAAAGAAGGGGAATCCCAGACAGAGGACTAGGAGGGGGACCCTTTGGGACGGAATTCAAAGGAACAGAGGAGGGGGCGTGTCAGGATCTAAGGCATGGAAACGGTTGTGAGTCTGAGGAAGGTGGGAAGGACGAGAAGAGGAAGAGCGCAACACGCGAGCATAAGAGACGTTAGCATAAGGTGGGAGACGGCGAACTTGGTGCCTCCCCTCAGGAAAAGACAAACGCTCCCGGTGCTTCAAGTTGAGGACAGCTGCCTCAAGCTAGTAATGTATACACGCACGGGAGAATGTAGGGTGGGCCTTACCGCAATTGAGGCAGCGAGCCCGGGGAGAAGTGCACTCCAACTTAGAGTGACCCTCGTCCTCACACACAGGACAGAGAGAGACAGTACTGGAGCAGCGAAGTACTCCATGCCCTAACCTCCCGCCCTTATTACAGAGCCGAGGAGAGGGAACGTACTCCTGGACTGAGCACCTGGCACCAGCAAGAATGACAGAGGGCGGAAGGGTCCTACCATCAAAGGTAATCTTCACAACCCGAAGGGGTTGATGACGACGACTACGAGGGGGACGAGTAAACGTGTCTACCTAGAGGACAGAATGGCCCTGGGCTTCGAGGATGTGCCGAATAACATCGTGGCTGTCCTGTAGATTCCGAACACCGGTTGCAACATGGGGCAGGAGGAGAGGCATAGAATCAAGAGGGAGGAGATCAAAGTATTTGGCCCACAAAGCGGGACCAATCAGGGCTTGATGCGCATCAGTACAGGAAGGAATCGAGTGAGTGTGGCTGTGGTGCAGACTGCGTTGAGAACCCCCAGAGAAAGAGGGGTTAAAAGGCGCAGTAGTCACAACTAGAGACTGAGCCGTGCCAGGGGACGAGGTGGTCACTACTGGGGGCTTGGGGCTTGACCCAACCACAGAGGAGGGAGGAGAGCCGAGGGGAGTAGTCAGGAGGGTCAAAGGAGGAGCAAGGTCGGGGCCCAATGCAGTGGGGGCTACACAGCCCGATCTTCCAATCTTGCCGGGGACCCCCAGGGGTGCGTCGTGAGTATACGTCCCACTAACGCCACCTTAAAAACCGTCAGTCCGTCGAGATTGGGTTCAGTGAGGAAAGGGGGATTGACAATAAAAGGGTCCCCTCTCGCTCGAGACGTTGGGTACTGCAGTTGTACGGGTGCAAGAGTATGCCTCCTCAAACACCCGGGTGTCAAAACAAAAGAAGGCCAAAATAATGATCAAAACAAGCACAAGGCCAGCGGGAAATGACAACGAGGAAGGAAAAGGGAGGGGGGGGGGGGAGAAAACCAAACAAAAGGAAAAGAAAAAGGCATCTAGCAGAATTAGAGAGGACAGCAGCAGGAGCACAAGACTACAAAAGGACAAAGGACTGTCTTAAGGAGCATCACACTCCGGCAGCCGCCCACCAAGCCCCCTCACGGCAACAACGAGCTGGACAGGGAGGGGGTAGCTGGACGAAAGCTTTCCCTTCCCATAGTTCATGGTACAGCCCGTTCTCCTGAGGATTCCCAACGTTAAGAAACTGTTGTACTAAAGTGCCCTTATCCTAACCTACCAGAGGACCCAAAAGGAAAAACGGGACAGTATGTCAATTTCGCAAGCTGCTACCATTTTCTAGTATGACGTTTTTTTTGCCTTAGGTAAAATATACGCCATTAGGAGGACGAGTTGCTGAAACAACCTGTCCTTTTACAAATTACATCAGAATTTGGCCCTTTGCCCCATATGGCCGAAAATGGACATAATTTGAAAATTAAAAAAAATTGAAAACAAATTTTGGAATTTTTCCCAAAACAGTAAATTAAGGTTCCTATGGTAGGTTATGAGGGCAGGAAATTCTCCTAAAGTTTCAAAACATCATCAAAACTGTTATTTGAAAGTTTCCTGTCCTAACCATACAGCATAAGCGAGAGGACTTAAACAGAAAACGGGACAGTACATCACTTGTGTGAGGTTATTTAATTTAAAATTACATCCAATTCTGACCATAGCGTGTATACAAGCAAAAAGCGATGTTATTTTTAAGAGTACGGGTTGAACCGAGGACCCACGAACCGAAAACGGGACATCATGTAAATTTCGCGAGTTAGTCATTTTTAATACATTAGTTTGTGGCATTTGAGAAAAATATACGTAAAAATGGGATGTACTATTCTAGAGAACTGGTTGCACGGTAACCCTTACCCACTAGTTTCCCTGGAATATGTCCCGCCAATCTCTTAATGATCAGTTACCCAATTATTGCTGGATGAACGGAAGCGTTCAGTTACGGATTGGCACCTAGGTAATTCTCCCTGGCCAGGATACGAACCTAGGGCAAATCATTTTTACTTTTACACCTACTCTAATTTACAATTAACCATTTGTTAGCCACAAAACTTTTCATTTTCATTTTCCCTGATTTTCGAAAATTTAATTACGAGAAATAGCCCAATCACTTTCTTTATAGACTGAAAATCCCTTCCTGTGCTACAGCGATAACATTCTGACAGACAGGATGATAACATCACAGGATTTCTGCTTCGTCAGTATCGAAAAACGTCTATTGAATTACCAACCGACTTACTTTTACAAGCGTATTTCATATTTATAAAACATTTACTTTGAAATATATCCAGACGATGACAACACGTCTTCATGGAGTGCTCGCCTGGCTCTTAGCGGAGGCAGACGTGTCGCTTGTGAGCTCCTGGTGTACTGGTCAGTGGTCGTTTGTGTTTGTAAGCGGGGCCTTGGGGCCGTGCCGGATGAAGGGACGGCAACCCCCCCCCCCTCTCCCTTGTGAACCGGAAGGATACTATTGGCTGGGAATTTACTGGACCAGCGTCTTATCCGGCACTTGAGGTGGTCATGATTTGATATATTGCGAGTGGATGTGGCGTCTGTGTGGGGCATTCAACTTACGTCCAGGCATCTTGTGAAATTCAGCTCTACGGCTGTGTACCATGACTTTGTGGACTGCTATGATGGGAGGACCCTTACTCTGCCTGAGGGTGGTGGTTCGGTGGAAGTCGGATAGATGCAGTGAGACTATCTATGTGGCTGTTCATGGTGCTCCCTTTGAGTTCCCCGACTCCATTCTCCAGCGTCACTTTACCCAGTATGGACCGGCATTGAGTGTCCGGGTGAATGCTATCTCCTCCAGGCGGTGGAAGGGTATCCCGAATGGGACCCTCACTGTGGCGATGCGACTTAAGGACCCCATCCCTTCGTCTCTCCTGCTTCTAGGCTTCACGGTGCAAGTATTCTATGTGGGTCAGAGCCGGACTTGATTCCGGTGTGGACTATCGGGCCACCAGGCTGCGGGTTGTGGTGCGAGCCGGGTTGGCCAGGTGAACCTCTTCAGAGAGGAGGATTTTTCCCCGTTGGCGGCCCCGGACCTATCCCCAGGTGCTGCTGTGATGAGTGATGCTTCCCAGTCGTCTGGTACCCCGTTGCTGGTCTCTGATGCCCGCCTAGATGTGGTTGGAGGTGTGGGTGTCAAGGTGGTAGTTAGTGCGACCCTGGCTCCCCCGCCTCGGCCACCCCTGCCTGCCCCATCTCCAGTCGTGTCTCCTGAGGTGTGTGGTCTAGTGCCCCCTTTCCTCGAAGCTGGGCCCCGGACTGCACTGTCTCCGGAAGCTGTGCCTTCGGAACGTATCGACGTGCATGCAGTGATGTCTCCCGCAGTGTGTGGTCCTGTTCCCTGGGTTGTTGAGGTTGGAATGTTGCGTGATCGTGCGCTGCATGGAGTTGCACGGTCCCCCGACGGTTCAGATGCAGTGCCTCCTAGCTGGGGGTGATAGTTCCGACGACCTGCGTCCTGTATCCAAGAGGTTGCGGCGAGCTTCGAGTCTGTCTCCACCTCGTGGTGAGACCTGGGCCGACGTCAGGGATTTTTGGCACTTCGGAAATTCGTCTTCTGTGGATGGTGATGTGGGCGACGATGTTGGGGTGTGCCTGTCTCTCATGTGGGCCGTGTGGTGGGATTGTCACCTGGTCCTGTGTCTTCTCCGGCTGCCTCTGCATCCCCGGTTGCTGGTTCCCTTGGGTTGAGAGTTTGTGGCGCTGGCCGAGGTTACGGGAGGGGGGAGAGGACATGATGATGGTTCTTAAGAAAGCTTCTGGTCCGGCAGCCCCCGTGCCTCTGGCGTCCATGTCTGTGCCCTCCATGTGTCTGCCCTCGGTGATGCCGAGCTGTTGCGCGGCTGTCATCTGTTCAACTGCCCTGCATCACTCCGCCCTCTGTGGTGTCGGCCTCTGCGCCATCGCCCTCTATGATTTTGTTCCCTGCGGCTCTGACCGTTATGCTGCCGGCCTCTGTACGGCCGGCTCCTGTGCTCCAGCCCCTTGTTGTTCCACCGCCTGTACCGCCAGGCCCTGTGTACCCTCTCCCCGGGTAAGGGTTACCATAATGACTTGGCACTTTCTCCTGATAATTCCCTTTCTCTTTTCCGTGAATTCCGCCCTCCCCTTCCTCCCCGTGACATCCGTCTCCGTGATAGTAGTCGCCGAGATGGATGTTCCTGACTTTATTTATCACGCGCGGTGGTCGCGTGGTCATGTACACTCGTCTGCGGAGGAGTGGGCTCGGTGGGACGCCTACAGGAAAAAGTACCCTCGTCGTCTATATCCAGATAAATATTATGATGATAACTGTGTGTGTGTGTGTGTGGTTCTTGATTTGTATTGCCGAGTTTCCGTATATGAACAATATATATATATATTTTTTTTTGCTCTTTCTTCTAGTCTGGCGGTTCCCTGTGGCCCGGAATTCATTGTTCTTGTTTTCATTTTGTGTACTGTACAGCTTTTATTTGTGTGTGATGTTATAATGTTCGTGTTTTGTTCATGTGTTTCTTGCCTTGTTATTGTTGGTTTATAGTGTTCTGGTGCTTTTTCCTTTCTGACTGTGTTTAGGTGTTTACCCATGTTTGTTTCTATTTTGTGTATTATACGACTTTTGTTTGTGTGTTTGTTATACTGTTCTTGTGTTTTGTTCATGTGTTTCTTGCCTTGTTACAGTTAATGCTGATGTTGATGTTTTTTCTGTTATGGCTGTAAATGTGTGTTTACCAAATAAAAAGAAGAAGAAAAAAAGGCACCCAATTACTGCTGGGTGATCGGAAGCGTACAGCTACACAATGGCACCGAGGTAATTCTCCCTGGCCAGGATACGAAGCTAGGGCAAATGATTTTTACTTTTGCACCTACTCTAAGATACAATTAACCACTCATTAGCCACAAGACTTTTCATTTTCTCTGATATTCGAAAATTTAATTACGAGATATAACCCAATCACTTTCTACAAAGTCTGAAAACCCCTTCCTGTGCTACAGCGATAACATCCTGACAGACAGGATGATAACATCGCAGGATTTCTGCTTCGTCAGTACTAAAAAAACCTGTATTGAATTAAGAATCGGCTTACTTTTACAAGCGTATTTTATATTTATAAAACATTTACTTTGAAATATATCCAGACGATGACAACACGTCATCATTAATACGAACAGTTTCAACAGTCAATGCAGGAATAAAGTTATACTAGTTATGTAAAGTTACATGCAAGTACTAAACCACTCTGAAGGAATGTTAACAACATATGTATCATAATATGTATGGATTATAATCAATTCATGAATGAATTATGATTCATACATGGAGAACGTTTACCGTAGCGTCTGTGCTCGTTAGACTCGAGTAACAAATGGCCAGATTTAGACATACTAGTGGTAGTAGTAGTATGCATCCATCAGTCTCAGGAGACTATGGAGTTGCGGTCTGGGGTCGGAGTGTTTAGTATGTTTAGACATACTAAACATTCACGATATATGCAATGTACGGAGGTCCAACCAATACGTCCACCACAGTCTGGAGTCAATACGTCCACCACAGTCTGGAGTCAATACGTCCACCACAGTCTGGAGTCAATACGTCCACCACAGTCTGGAGTCAATACGTCCACCACAGTCTGGAGTCAATACGTCCACCACAGTCTGGAGTCAATACGTCCACCACAGTCTGGAGTCAATACGTCCACCACAGTCTGGAGTCAATACGTCCACCACAGTCTGGAGTCAATACGTCCACCACAGTCTGGAGTCAATACGTCCACCACAGTCAGGAGTGAATGGGTTTCCATACACTTTTCCTGGTGGTTTTCTGTGTGCTGAGGGTTCCGGCCCTCGCCTCCCTCCGGGACTCACCAAACGTCTGCCTAACTTGGTTCATCAGTCACAAGGCACATTAGATTTCGACGCTCAGGCGACGTGTATATTACCGCATGACTTTGCGTGTTCCACTACACCGGATCACATCCACCACTTGTGTTGGCTAGACCGACAACACTCAGGTGTTGCTTGACCCATTCGGTCAGGTAGAACGAGAGGAAAAAATGTAATTGCCATGCCTGTTACAACGACTCTTAATTGCGTACATTGGAACGCACTGCCGGAAGAGTTGGATTTGTAGATTAAGGAAACTTGCGCACGAGACGAGTCACATGCTCAAGCTCTTCCAGACAGCCACGGCCACGGAGCGCGTGACAGTTCAGGCAAGCTAACAGGGGGGAAATTCTCGACTCTCGCACCTCCCTTAGTCAGGCATGGACGAATCCAAAGTGATAAGGCTGGCCAAGTATCACACAGACGTCTCCTTAAGACGTCTCCTTAAGACGTCTCCTTAAGACGTCTCCTTAAGACGTCTCCTTAAGACGTCTCCTTAAGACGTCTCCTTAAGACGTCTCCTCAATAAAATTAGAACCATAGTTCCCAGCTCTTGATAAATGACTACATGCATGAAAGGAGTTTATGGTTTAATTGCATTATTTAATCACCATTCTCGCTGAAAAGAAAGTGTACACTGCATGTACACTGAAAAGTCAAATACCACCTTCCTAGATCTTAAGTTTGCCTTTCGCATTGCAAGCCGAAATATCAATTTAAAATGAGTTCGCCAGAATGGATGTTGGAGGTTGGTTTCTGTACTTGATCAGAGGCTACTTATCAAAAAGATCTTCAGTAGTAACGTTTAATATCATAAACTTTATGCCTAGCAAACCCAACAAACACGGTGTACTAACACTCAAAATGTTCTTGACTCTTTATTTGCTCTCATGGGAGGCTATATTGTCGTAATGGCTTGGCGTTTTCCCCCTGCTAATTCTCCCCCGCCTTCCCCTCTCATGTGGATTTATCTAAGATAAATCAGAGAAATCGAAGAAACAAAATAGGTGGCCACCCACGCGGGAAGGAGCTGTTTGTAAAAGGCCGTTGTATGATGGATCCCAGCTGGACTACGTAAACAAGTTCAAATTCCTTGATTTTAAGATCAAACTGTACAGTCGTGTTGTAACCTGACTGTCGTCAGAATAAACAGAGGCACAGAGTTCTCAAGCCAGTGGTCGGGTATCACTCAGGCTATGGTGCAAATGTCAGGATTGTAAGGTAGTGGACTTTGTACACATTACATACTTGGTTGCTTATGTGGCACCTCTGCTGGCTTTAGTGTCTGTAAAATGCATGGGAAGTTTAACAAATGCAAAACGAAGCCTTGTTAATTATTCTTTGGTGCCCCCATACCATAAACATACTTAAAATGAACTTTTAATATGGTAACTTAATACAAGGAGCGTCGTTGATCATAAATGAATTTTTAAGAGGTAACATAATATAAGGAGCGTCGTTGATCATATTAATGAAGTTAATGCTCTAATTGGTATCAAAATAGGTTCATCTCATCCTACCCATAGCACAAAAGCTCTCCAGATCTTTTTTTTATTGAAGGTCAGCATTGTTCAAAATAGATTATTAAAGCTGCAGCTGAAATCAGAAAGCTTCAGATTCACAATTTATCTGGAATGCGCCCAGCACGTCGAACATCCATTTCTTATGAACTTTCAGACTCGTCTTATCTTTGATTATTTGTTTATTCCACAGGAGTTTGCCTTTGCTTTCCGGGGACCGGGGAGGCACGGGGCAAACCTCGGATGCTAATTCTGGTCCTCATGTAGAAGTATTTGTAATATTATATAGAAGCGTTCTTTCATTCTTGTACAGCCACTAGCACGCTGTCGGGCAAGTTCTTAATCTTAATTTTCCCTGGAATACGACCCGCCAAATCGCTTAACAACCAGGTACCCATTCCTGAACAGAGGCGAACAGTTAAGGATTGGTGCCTAGTCAATCCTCCCCGGCCAGGGGTGCTAGAACAGCTAGAACCCAGCTAGAACACATCCACGTTCCAAACATGGAATCAAAACCGAAAAACTACCTAACAATCTGAATGGCATTAACAATTGCACTGAAAACATGTTTGACGAAACAGACTCAAGAGGTTTTAAGTGTCCCATAGAAACCGTTCCCCCAAAATGATGACGAAGCCTCTATAAACCTTCCCTTATAAACACTTCTACCGGGACCGAACAACTCTTCTAGTTCACATGATACCCCGAAGCTTTATTTAAAATTCCAATAAGTTTCCCCCGCTCATCGAAGTTGTAGCCTCTGGCCAGCCCTTGGGGGAGGTAGCTATGGCTGTCGCTAAGTAATTAATGTTCGCAAATGTATTAATACGACCAGACAACTAGGTTATGAAATATGAAGTTGACAGCTGTCACGCAGGCGGAAACAAGGGGGGAAAGAAAGGGGGGAAAGAAAGGGGGGAAGAAAGGGGAAAACGAGCAGGAGAATAATAGGGGGAGACACGTAAGTGTGGTACATTTACACCGAGAGATTACTTCACCATGTTCCTCTTAGTACATTCGGGAATTCCGGGTTCGAGACCCGGCCAGGAGAGAAATGTTTATTTTTTTATTTTATTTATATAAAAAGGTATAATACTAGAAGGTACATTGGGTTTATGAGAGTACATAGCACTGATGTTTTTACATTGTTGTAAAGCCACTAACTCGCGCAGCGCTTCGGACAGGTTCTTAATATAACAGAAAATTTAAAGTAGGTAATTTCTAGTAAAATTGAGAAAATGTTAACAAGTACATTGTAAGAAGATTTGACGAAGATTAGTAGGTACATTAAAGTATAATTTGAGGATTATCAACAGGTACATTGTAGCATAATTTGAGGATTATTTCAAGGTATAATACAGTAAAATATCCGTTCAATATAACAACCATGATATAAGATGATAGCAATGATTAAAACTGTGAAGTTGTATGACTTAGGTAAATATATTAGGGAAGTGGGTAGCACTAGATACAGTGCGAGTTTCAGGTACTAAGTAGGAAACTATGAAGGTGAAAATAGGTACTTTTTGGTTTTATTTCTGAATAAGGCAAAAGTTGGACAGCTTTTCAATTCGTTAGGGAGTGAGTTCCATAGACTAGGTCCCTCTATTTGCAAAGAGTGTTTACACAGATTAAGCTGGACTCTGGGGATATCAAAGAGATATTTATTTCTGGTGTGGTGATTATGGGTCCTATTACATCTGTCCAGGAAAAGTTTCAGAGCAGGGTCTGCAACTCCTCCTGGACAAATGTTATAGGTTGGGTGCGTTTCCTATCGCCAATTATAAGTCTTCACCTAGCAGTAAATAGGTACCCAGGAGTCACCTTGCTGTGGGGCTTCCTCCTGGGGTCATTTCTTCGACCTCGGGGAGGGGGACCTCGATATAAGCCTAACATGTATGTATATATGTGGAAAAGTCACAGAGAAATTGGAAAACTTTTCCATACACCAATGATCAGTGTTTCGTGATCGTCATTTGTAAATATATATATATATATATATATATATATATATATATATATATATATATATATATATATATATATATATATATATATATATATAAAGGTTCCCTGTCCACTGACAAAATGAATTATTATGAATTATATAACAATATAAATGCTAGTTGGTCAGTAAGCTATAATTAAGCTCACGCAGTTCATAGCCTTAATATCATCGCCAAGCCAATTATGAATAATTTGGTATTTCTCAACCTTACTGAAAATACATTTCTTAGTCGAATATGCATAGCTAAACTAAACATATAGTTGGATGGAGACCTTTTAGAAATGATAAAAACGACGTGGCGCTGTGTATGATGTGTTGAACAGTCAATCAGTCACGTTAAGGGCGGTACTGGATGGGTGATGGCTCAGGCAGCTCTGTCCTCGGTTTAGGATACCTCGATAAACGGCATTTTATCCATAGCAATGCTATACCATACCATATCACTCCCCGCAGCAAAACCCACGAGAATATCATAGTCTGCCCTAGTTTGAGCAAGCACCAAAGAAAATCGGTATTGCGTACATTTTCTATGAGCATATAGCGTGTCACATCTAATTATATCGGGTAATTATACATCAAAGAGAGGCTATTGGTGCCACACTGATTTCAAAAGGCATCAAAGAAACCAGCTTTCCCTTCAAGTAAATACGTGCTAATTATAAATGATTATATGGCACACCATTACCACCACCTCATCAAGGCCCCGACAAAAATATCGGCATTAAAATCTCCAGCGGGATTCCACTCGGGAAAATTCCCGTCCCCACGTGCTGCCTCCGCCTGTAAAAATCCCATGTGTCTGAACGGCCAGATGCCGGCGCTGGCCCGGCCCGCTGACCACATTACCTGTCTCTCATACTGATGGACACGCTGAGGAAAATACCACCAGACACACAGATGAGAATTCGGTGATTAAGACATATCGTACATTCTTATTCATGACCAAAGATCGATTTCTCGGGTGTTAACGATGTGATCCGAGTGAAAACGAGTGATTTGCAGTCTGGAAGTTTTGTCTTCACCATCCCACGCAATAAAGACATCCCTGGCTCGGTCCGATGGATCTTAAGTTTCCGTCTTAAGGAACTGATGATGGTTACATGGCCATACTTAATGACAGAACCAAGACACTACATTTTATACGTACACACTTATAATGCCACTGAAATGCCATTTCTATCACTGTCTTCCCCTCTACACACGAAAAAGTTTACTTGAAGTAGGCCTACACGTCCTTCTCGACCTGACAAGACACTAATTAACATTAAATTGTAAATCTTACTTAATATTGCTCCGAACTGTCTTCTTGTGTAAGGCGGTGTTCAAGTTAAGCTCTGTACTCTGACATTTCCGTAGAGTATGATAAAGGGTTCTTGAGGTTATCTTGAAGTTATCTTGAGGTTATGTTGAAATGATTTCGGGGCTTAGCGTCCCCGCGGCCCATTCCTCGACCAGGCCTCCTTTTTGTTACACACCCCCAGGAAGCAGCCCGTAGCAGCTGTCTAACTTCCAGGTACCTATTTACTGCTAGGTGAACAGGAGCATCACGGTGAGAGAAACTCGAACCCGGAACCTCATGACTACGAATCCAGAACGCTGTCCACTCAGCCGTCAAGCCCATAAGAGTCAGTAGGGGAAACCGTGAAGACTTCAAACCGGTGTTGCCAGATTTTATATAATCAGTGGGATGAATAACTTCAGATATCTGCAGTCATTGTTGGAATGTCGCGGAGACCAATTTCATCCACACGTTTCAGACCTCGTTCTCACTCACAAGGAGAAGGAGACTTTCTCACTCACAAGGAGAAGGAGACGTTCTCACTCACAAGGAGAAGGAGACGTTCTCACTTACAAGGAGAAGGAGACGTTCTCACTCACAAGGAGAAGGAGACGTTCTCACTCACAAGTACGAGGAGACGTTCTCACTCACAAGGAGAAGGAGACGTTCTCACTCACAAGTAGGAGGAGACGTTCTCACTCACAAGGAGAAGGAGACGTTCTCACTCACAAGTAGGAGGAGACGTTCTCACTCACAAGTAAGAGGAGACGTTCTCACTCACAAGTAGGAGGAGACGTTCTCACTCACAAGGAGAAGGAGACGTTCTCACTCACAAGGAGGAGGAGACGTTCTCACTCACAAGGAGGAGGAGACGTTCTCACTTACAAGGAGGAGGAGACGTTCTCACTTACAAGGAGGAGGAGACGTTCTCACTTACAAGGAGAAGGAGACGTTCTCACTTACAAGGAGAAGGAGACGTTCTCACTTACAAGGAGAAGGAGACGTTCTCACTCACAAGGAGAAGGAGACGTTCTCACTCACAAGGAGAAGGAGACGTTCTCACTTACAAGGAGAAGGAGACGTTCTCACTTAGAAGGAGAAGGAGACGTTCTCACTCACAAGGAGAAGGAGACGTTCTCACTCACAAGGAGGAGGAGACGTTCTCACTCACAAGGAGAAGGAGACGTTCTCACTTACAAGGAGAAGGAGACGTTCTCACTCACAAGGAGAAGGAGACGTTCTCACTCACAAGGAGAATGAGACGTTCTCACTCACAAGGAGAAGGAGACGTTCTCACTTACAAGGAGAAGGAGACGTTCTCACTTACAAGGAGAAGGAGACGTTCTCACTTACAAGGAGAAGGAGACGTTCTCACTTACAAGGAGAAGGAGACGTTCTCACTCACAAGGAGAAGGAGACGTTCTCACTTACAAGGAGAAGGAGACGTTCTCACTTAGAAGGAGAAGGAGACGTTCTCACTTACAAGGAGAAGGAGACGTTCTCACTCACAAGGAGGAGGAGACGTTCTCACTCACAAGGAGGAGGAGACGTTCTCACTTACAAGGAGAAGGAGACGTTCTCACTCACAAGGAGGAGGAGACGTTCTCACTTACAAGGAGGAGGAGACGTTCTCACTTACAAGGAGAAGGAGACGTTCTCACTTACAAGGAGAAGGAGACGTTCTCACTTACAAGGAGAAGGAGACGTTCTCACTTACAAGGAGAAGGAGACGTTCTCACTTACAAGGAGAAGGAGACGTTCTCACTTACAAGGAGAAGGAGACGTTCTCACTTACAAGGAGAAGGAGACGTTCTCACTTAGAAGGAGAAGGAGACGTCCTCACTCACAAGGAGAAGGAGACGTTCTCACTCACAAGGAGGAGGAGACGTTCTCACTCACAAGGAGAAGGAGACGTTCTCACTTACAAGGAGAAGGAGACGTTCTCACTCACAAGGAGAAGGAGACGTTCTCACTCACAAGGAGAATGAGACGTTCTCACTCACAAGGAGAAGGAGACGTTCTCACTTACAAGGAGAAGGAGACGTTCTCACTTACAAGGAGAAGGAGACGTTCTCACTCACAAGGAGAAGGAGACGTTCTCACTCACAAGGAGAAGGAGACGTTCTCACTCACAAGGAGAAGGAGACGTTCTCACTTACAAGGAGAAGGAGACGTTCTCACTTAGAAGGAGAAGGAGACGTTCTCACTTACAAGGAGAAGGAGACGTTCTCACTCACAAGGAGGAGGAGACGTTCTCACTCACAAGGAGGAGGAGACGTTCTCACTCACAAGGAGGAGACGTTCTCACTTACAAGGAGAAGGAGACGTTCTCACTCACAAGGAGGAGGAAACGTTCTCACTCACAAGGAGGAGGAAACGTTCTCACTCACAAGGAGGAGGAAACGTTCTCACTCACAAGGAGGAGGAAACGTTCTCACTCACAAGGAGGAGGAAACGTTCTCACTCACAAGGAGATGGAGACGTTCTCTCTCACAAGGAGGAGGAGACGTTCTCACTCACAAGGAGGAGGAGACGTTCTCACTTACAAGGAGAAGGAGACGTTCTCACTCACAAGGAGAAGGAGACGTTCTCACTCACAAGGAGAAGGAGACGTTCTCACTCACAAGGAGAAGGAGACGTTTTCACTCACAAGGAGAAGGAGACGTTCTCACTCACAAGGAGGAGAACAGTTTGTTCACGTACGCAGCCAATAACGATAGTTCATTCACTGACTTGCCAAGAACAGTTTGTTCATCAATTATAACTCCGGAGGATACTTCCCCCCCCTAGTCAAGGACAGGTACACTAGTGAGTCACAGAGATCAGTTATTTCACCAGTCACTTGATTCACCAGTTACTCAGACCGCTTCACTCACCAGTCACTGCACCCCCCACACATTCACCAGTCAAGCTTCTTCATTCACCAGTCAAGCTTCTTCATTCACCTGTCAAGCTTCTTCATTCACCAGTCAAGCTTCTTCATTCACCTGTCAAGCTTCTTCATTCACCTGTCAAGCTTCTTCATTCACCAGTCAAGCTTCTTCATTCACCTGTCAAGCTTCTTCATTCACCAGTCAAGCTTCTTCATTCACCAGTCAAGCTTCTTCATTCACCAGTCAAGCTTCTTCATTCACCAGTCAAGTTTCTTCATTCACCAGTCAAGTTTCTTCATTCACCAGTCAAGTTTCTTCATTTATCATTCACTGATCCCACATAATTCACCAGTCCCTGACCGGCACATCAGTCACCAGCCACACTCCCGGCCACGTTCGACTCCTCCTGACGTCATCAGTTCAACCCGACGCTTGGGAGCCCAGAATACAAGTCCAGTTAAATTATCCTCCTCCGCCACGGGGGTCCTCGCCCTCGTCTCCGCCGCCGCCGCCGTCCCTCCCTCAGCCGCCGCCGCCGCCGTACCTCCCTCAGCCGCCGCCGTCCCTCCCTCAGCCGCCGCCGCCGTCCCTCCCTCAGCCGCCGCCCCCGTCCCTCCCTCAGCCGCCGCCCCCGTCCCTCCCTCAGCCGCCGCCGCCGTCCCTCCCTCAGCCGCCGCCGCCGCCGCCCCTCCCTCAGCCGCCGCCGTCCCTCCCTCAGCCGCCGCCGCCGTCCCTCCCTCAGCCGCCGCCCCCGTCCCTCCCTCAGCCGCCGCCCCCGTCCCTCCCTCAGCCGCCGCCGTCCCTCCCTCAGCCGCCGCCGCCGTCCCTCCCTCAGCCGCCGCCCCCGTCCCTCCCTCAGCCGCCGCCGTCCCTCCCTCAGCCGCCGCCGCCGTCCTCCCTCAGCCGCCGCCGCCGTCCCTCCTCAGCCGCCCCCGTCCCTCCCTCAGCCGCCGCCCCCGTCCCTCCCTCAGCCGCCGCTGTCCCTCCCTCAGCCGCCGCCGCCGTCCCTCCCTCAGCCGCCGCCGCCGTCCCTCCCTCAGCCGCCGCCGCCGTCCCTCCCTCAGCCGCCGCCCCCGTCCCTCCCTCAGCCGCCGCCCCCGTCCCTCCCTCAGCCGCCGCCGTCCCTCCCTCAGCCGCCGCCGCCGTCCCTCCCTCAGCCGCCGCCCCCGTCCCTCCCTCAGCCGCCGCCGTCCCTCCCTCAGCCGCCGCCGCCGTACCCCCCTCAGCCGCCGCCGTCCCTCCCTCAGCCGCCGCCGCCGTCCCTCCCTCAGCCGCCGCCGTCCCTCCCTCAGCCGCCGCCGCCGTCCCTCCCTCAGCCGCCGCCGCCACCGCCGTGAACGCGGCACCGACAACGACCAATAACATCTTCCGTGTATTCCCTTACTACTTAATTCCTCCCCTCCCGTCGACGTGCTTCGACGGAGACAAAATGTGGTTCGGGAAGCAGGAGACGATGAGGGAGAGCATGTGGAATGCGCGCCAGTTTCCCCCTAACACCGGCCATATTGATTTTGTTGCAAGAGAGATATGCTTGGACAAGGTCCACTCCCCCAGCCGCTGGTGTGTGTGTGTGTGTGTGTGTGTGTGTGTGTGTGTGTGTGTGTGTGTGTGTGTGTGTGTGTGTGTGTGTGTGTGTGTGTGCGCGCGTTTTCTGTGCAGCTTTGGTGGGGAGAGTTGGCCGGGTTCCCTCGCTCCTATGGTCCCTGGCGATGCAGGGGGGACTCGATTGAACGCTAAATACCAAACCTACTGCACACACACACACACACAAGTCCTCGCGGCCGAGCTCACAGTACTCGGAAATCGTATTCCAAAGGGTCCGGATTTGATTCCAGCCTAGGCAGAAATAAACGGGCAGCGTTTCGTTCACCAGATGTCGCTGTCCACCTAGCAGTAAATACGTTCCTAGGAGATAGGCAGCTACTACAGGCTGCATCCTGGAGATGTGCGTGTCAGAGACGAATCATTACATTAGACAACCGACGGTTAGAGAGGCGGGGGCCAAGAGCTAACAGCTCAATCCTGCAGGCATCAAATGTAAAATACATTCACACACAGATGGAACAAGTAACGAAAATGAGAAAAGAGGCAAAGAGACTATCTAAGACTGACAAGATGTGTACTTAACTAGTTACCTAGTTGTGCTTACGGGGGGTTGAGCTCTGGCTCTTTGGTCCCGGCTCTCTCCGGTCGATCAACCAATGTACAGGTTCCTGAGCCTACGGGGCTCTACCATGTGTGAGGAGGTCCTCAAGAGAGTTCAGGTCTCAACAGTGCCTCAACTGAGGAAAGGACACATGTGCTGGCACTGGACGTGACAATGGTTGTTGGTACCAGACTGATCACTTGTAACAGGAGAACTACGATCAATTCATCGTCTCACCAAGAGACGATCAATGGTGATCAATGTCACGGTACTGTATATGTTTAGGGGTGATCCTCGACGTCCTGAGTTCGAATCTTGGCCGGGTCATATAGAGTTCTTGGTGATATATATATATATATATATATATATATATATATATATATATATATATATATATATATATATATATATATATATATATATATATATGACAATGTCAGACCACGGAGAAAAATTGAAATAGGAATTTCCT